GCCAGCGTCTTCCAGGCCAAGTAAAGGATGTTCTGACAAAAACAAAAGTTTAACTTCGAACAGAACAGACTGGAGCTCCTGTTGACTGGACCTGCTCATGCCGTCTGCTCTGCAGCAGACTTCTGTTCATCTTTTTCATTTTCAAAAGTCTTGGAATAAAGATGAACCATTTTCCATCTGAATACTTCCTGTCTCTGGATGTTTCCCACTGACCACATTTAACCTTTTAATATCTTTATTAAAATCCCATCTCCACTACGCTGCCTTATGTAAAATCCTGCAGCGTTGTGGAAGTGCTGCTCCTGCAGTGGAAGGCTGTTTCCATTTAAGACTAATCCAGTTTACTGATTGGTCAGTTGCTGACGAGCCTCTGGGATTGACAGGTAGCATCACGTCAATTAGGAGGGCTGCTCCCTAATTGGTTAAAAATATTGATATCTGATCTAGACTTAGACTCAACTTTATTAATCCCTTGGGATTACTGCTTCCAGTAGCTTAAATAGAGTAGGAAGAGTTAAAACAAGATACCATTAAAGATAAAAATAAAACAGATAATGCAAAGAGTGTGTATATAGCAAAAAAAAAGCATTAAAATAAAGTTACATTTTCCAGAATGTAAAGGTTACAGTAGTTGGCATAAGTTATTGCACATGAGTGAGGATAGGTAATGTTTAGCATCAGATGTCCAAGGAGGGGGGTGCTGACCCTTGTCCCGCTTCCTATCACCTCCTCCTTCCCCCCAGTGAGGAGTTCAGCAGTCTGTTGCTCCTGCATTTGGGGAGCAGCAATCTCCCACTGATCAGGCTCCTCTGAGTGCTGAGGACAGTCTGCAGAGGGTAGCTGGCTTTGTCCGTAATGTCCAGCAGTTTAAGTGTCCTTGTCTCTGCCACTGTCCCCATAGGGTCCAGTTTCTAGTCAATCACAGAGCCGGCTGGCCTCACCAGTTTGTCCAGTCGGGAGGTGTCCTTCATGGATGTGCTGCTCCCCCAGCACACCACGGTGTAGGAATGCTTTAGCAGCAGGGTAGGATGGTGGTGCTCTGTAGCTAAGGTGGGGGGGCAGGTGGCTGTAGCAGCGGTGTAGGGGTCACAGGCTGGTCAAACCTGTTGAAGAACTTCCGCAAAACTTTCAAATCCAATCCACTGGACCTGGTTTCCAAGGTTTGAAGACATTTCGCTTCCCCTCCAGGAAGCTTTCTCAATTCAAATGTCTGGATCCGCAGTGAGTTTGAGTCTTTATAGAGTCAAGGCCTTGTATTGTCCAAGTCCAGTGGATTGTTTTTTAAACTTTTATGGAATGACTATGACCTGGATGACTGAGAATCTTCATCAACACCTGTTGAACCTGTTCAGGTCATCCGCCCTCTCCATTGTCCCTTCAGCGCCCCTGGTCGTTGTGTGATGGTCCTCTCACCTTCCCACATGGCTCTCATGTTATTCTCCCTCAGCTTCAGCTCCACCTTTCTCCTGTAGATGTTTCTGGCTTCCCTCACAGTGTCTCTGCTCCTGAAGGCAGCCTTCTTCCTGCTTAGGACAGCTTTGACTTCCCTCGTTACCCAAGGCTCGTTATTCGGGTAGAAGCAGACCGACAGGTGAGACAACGTCAGTGCCAAAGTTCAGACAGTGAGTTATCCCCTATATGTCCTCACCATGCGGTCCAATCAGCACATCCCAGTATGTGGTATTAAAGCCGTCCCTCAGGAAACTTTCCATCTCAGGGGAACACCTCCTGAAGGTGCAGGTTGGAACCGGCCGGCTTTTAAACAAGGAGGCAGTACTTTGGCTGTAGGTGAACCAGGTTGAGGTCCAACTTGCCCAGTGGGGGGAGGGGTCTATAGAGCTTGTGGTTGGAAAATTTAGATTGCTCTTATTTCATATATTGATTTCAGCTGTTTATTCACTGAAAAATGTTTTTCAGTCTGTTTCACCTGCAAGGCCACACAATGCCTGACTGAGGCATTTCTTCCCATAACGAGCCAGATTCTTTTTTCCGGGTTGCTTCATAAGATGTTATTGTTTAACCAAAGTGTCATTTTTTTTTTCTTCTGACTTCTTTCCATTATTATAAGCAAGGAGGAACGAACGCTGCCCAGATCAGAACAGGGCTGATAACCATGCAGTAGGGAGGGTATGAGATTTGTTCTCTCTTTGCAAAGATGTAATAAAATGCTGACTGAGTGAAATCCATCCACCTCTGTTTAAGGGCAGTGAATAGTTTAACACTTTTTTCCCATGGCAATCTATAAATAGATCTAACCAGTGACCGCTAACCTGTTGGCTTAAGTTTCTCATTGTGTCTCGGCTCCTGTTACAGAGACGCTCCAATCAGATCATCCAGTCAAATCAAAGGAAAAATAGTCACTGACCGTCAGGATCAGCTCTTCCTGGATGAGGAGGTAGAGACAGCAGACACTTGTACTGTCATTTGCATTTTGTTGTTGAACCTGTAGTAATCCCTCACACCAAGCATGCTTGTAGCGACAGTGGAGAGGAAAATGCCAGCAGAAACGGATCATCTGCTACCGGCCGCTATCATCCATTTTTACGGAAGGAGTTGCTCCTATAGAACAACCACATGAAGCCCTCCTCTGATGTTTCTGACCTTTCAGGTCCAGGATGTGTGAGATCAGCAGAGGCGTCAGATGCTTTCCCAGCTGGACCAAAAACCTGCAACTTGGAAAGTGGTTGTTCCTGCCATCAGGAGCAGTTATGCTGTTAAATTTCAGATTTAATTTGCAATAAATATCAAAAATAATATTAAATTAAGAAAATCAGACAATTGATGTTAGAAATACAAGTTTAGAAGCTTCTGTAAATGTTTTAGGGTGGAACCAATGTTCATTGTGTTGTTTAGGTTGGGTCAATATTTCAGTTGCACGCCGCCTGTGACGCTTGCAGGGGCTGCGTTAAAACCTAGGACGCGTCCTTAGAAGGCCAGATTCGAAGTACGATGACGTCATAGCGCAGCACCGAGGTCTGGTCGGATTCCAAGAGTCCTCGTTATGCGGCCTTAAAATGCGTCCTTCTTTTTGCCCGATTTGAAGGACGGGTCCGATGTATCCTTGGTTTACCCAGGATTCATTGCGAGACCAAACAAGCCGTGATCAGAGGAAAGGTTACTTGGCGCCGAACAGTGGTAAAAATTGGAAGTTCAGTTTAATATAATCCAGTCTGTGAATAGTTCCGTCTGAAATGAATGAAAATAGTTGTTTTAATGGTTACTGAGTCAGATATGTGGCGGTAATGTTTGATTTATCTAAAGGTTTTTATCTGTTACTGTGTAAATGGGTTTGGCTGGAATTTAAGGACAGATTCTAATAAATCTGCAGGGTGGGGACTATAAATCTGATAGTTTAATTTTCTTATTGCTGTTTTGCACAATATGCTTAACTAAGTTTTTTTTGTTGTTGAATAATAGAGATTTTGCAGATATATTTTTATACATACATTGTTTAGATTTACTTATATATTTCTACCCCTTTTATAGAATAGAATAGAAAATCCCTTTATTGTCCCACAATGGGCAAATTTACAGCAGCAGAAAGATTGAAAATTGTCCCACAAATGTGGACCTTAGAAAAATGTATAAGAATAACATAATAGGGAAGAGTTAAAATATAAACAATACAATACTGTAAAGTGTTTTAACAATATAAAACTGTAGAATAAATAACCAATATGCAGCTATGGACATTTTTACAGTAATGGATATTTGAAAATAACAGCAACATCAGAGATGTGCAGAATGACAGCAGCATGTTATTTAATTTAACTGACTAAGGTTTCTATCATTACATTTGATTTAATTTGTTACTGCTCCCAGTGGTTGGAACATTTATTCCACTCAATAAAAAAAGAAATAAACAGTTTTGAAAACTTCAGTATTCCTTCTATTCCTGCTTTGTGTATTAGCTTTCACGGTTGCAAAGCAACAGAGCCTACTGCTGTAAAACCTGCCGAAGGGCAGACCTGTTTGAATTCACAGCTAAAATTCTACCGGTCTCCTTATTTTCAAGGACTTGGAAGGATCCAGTCCAGGTAGACCGCGTCCTTGGAGGATGCAGCCAATGAATTCAAAGAGCCATAGTGAAGACTTTTTCTGCACATCAATGTAGAGGACGGTGCTGCAAACTGTATTTTTTATTAACCCCTTTCAATTTAATGCGGCTAATGAGGTAAACAAGGAAAAGTTTGTAAAACTGTTTCATTGTTTATTCTTCACGAGAATGCCTTATTGTATTTAAATTATGTCATTTGTACAGTTCTCACAGCATCATTGATGACACCTGTGTTAAACTAAATGCTGACTAAAAGTAAACATCTTGTTTGTTATTCATCCTGGAGGGAGTCACAGTGGATTTTCTTCTCTTTGTAGCAAGAAAACATTCATCTTGAATATGGAAATAAAAGGTAATAAATCTAAAAAATGTTAATAAAATGTTGAGACTGATTTGAAAGATTTAATCAATGAAAAAATTTGTGTTGAGAACTTTTCCTTTTCTTTCAAATGTTTTTCTAAAAAGATTTTGTTCCTTTTAGACATTTATTTTCACATTCCTACTTTTCACATGAATTTCTTTTCAAATTGCATTTTCTCTGGGGGCGGGCTTTCCTCTGGGGGCGGGCTTTCCTCTGGAGCAAAGAAGCATTTCTATTGGTCCACTGGAACGTCAGCAGCCGCCGTCAATCTGACGTAAAGAGCAAGTGTTTTTACTCGGCTGAAAGTGAAAAGAACACAAAATCTAAAACGCAATTTAAATTTTTTTTGAAAAACTATAAAAAATACAATTTGAAAAAAAAAAAACTTTCCAATTGTTTTGGATTAAATATAAAAGGTTTAATTTCTGGATTTTTTTTTCCAATTTCGATTTATAAAATGTGTTCTTTGCTTCAACAATAATGGAGCAACATTCACGCCATAGAATGTTGGGAGGATTGCAGGTTTTTGTGTGTTGCTCTCAAACTCTAAAATAATAAAAAAGGATCAGATGAAAAGAGCAGCTTTTAGAAAAATACTGATTAATTGATGAAAGAGAAATCATTCCAGTATCGATGCCTCACAATGTTTGTTCATAATGATGTTTCATGCTGGATCAAACATCCATTTTATTCAGAGAGAAAATAGATGGCAGAATATCAACCGTTAAAACAACGAGCATCTGTCCTCAGCAGCCAGACTGTCCTGGTCGGCCTTCATTAAAGTCCGGCTTTAATGTCTCCATCAGAAACGGGACTAAACCGGCAGCAGATCCGTCGCAGCCTTTCCTCCTCGCTGCTTCTGGTCAAACTGAACCCGTCTCACATGGAAGAACCTCCTGATCCTTCTAGCAGCAGAATAATTCTCAGAGTTCGTCTTTGGAATTCACCTTCCCTGGTTTGTCCATACCGAAGAAAGAGGACGGCAGGCCATGGACGTCTCTTTCTCTCTTCACGAAGGCGGAGAAGGAGGAGACGCAGTTCCCAATGAAGTGGTCGGCTTGTCCTAGGATGTACAGGTCGGTCTGAGCCCAGTCCGGCTGGAGGGTCACCACTTTTACCTGCAGAACATTGAAGGAAAGCAGCTGTTAAACATGGCGGACATGCAGGAAGAGAGAGGAGGGGCTGGAATTAAAGAAACATTTTCTCTGCTTAGCAACAGATGATGTAAGAAGGAAAAAAAATATTAATCAAAGGCCTTTCCCTCAAGTAAGTCTGTTCTGCAACAATCAGTCAATCTTATCTTGACATAAAGAAGAAGTAAAAAGAAGCCATTTGGATTTTTAGTTTTTCTGTTTGTAACCCGGTAACCATCAGTGGGAAAAATGGTCCAAATAGATATAAATATAAAGAAGAAAGCAGATTTAATGGAATTAAACAGGTGTTAGTCAGACGCGTTTCAATAAAACAAACTAAATCATACAGAAAAATCCAAATATTTCACTCTGATCCTGTTAACAAATTCAGTTTTCTAAGGAAACCCGTCTGATCACATCCATTTATTGGCTATGCAGAGGAGGGGCGTGTCCAACAGTGGAGAGGAAAACTCCCCTTTAACAGAAAGGAACCTCCAGCAGAACCAGTAGAACAAAAGAGAGCATTGATTTCAGCCAAAAGAGCTTAAAGAAAGACATAAGGGTCCCCTATGTCCTCCAGCAGTCTAAGCCTATAGCAGCAGAACTATAGAGATAGCTCAGGATAACCTGAGCCACTCTAACTAGAAGCTTTATCAAAAAGGAAAGTTTTAAGCCTAGCCTTAAAAGTAGACAGGGTGTCTGCCTCACGGACTAAAACTGGTAGTTGGTTCCACAGGAGAGGAGCCTGAGAACTAAAAGATCTGCCTCCCATTCTACTTTTAGAAATTCTAGGAACCACTAGTAAACCTGCAGATTGAGAGCGAAGTGCTCTGTTAGGAACATAAGGAACAATCAGATCTCTGATATCAGATGGAGCTTGGCCATTTAAGGCTTTATATGTGAGAAGGAGGATTTTAAATTCTATTCTGGATTTAACAGGAAGCCAATGAAGAGAAGCCAGGATAGGCAAGATATGATCTCTCTTTTTCATTTCCATCAGAACTCTGGCTGCAGCATTTTGGATCAGCTGAAGGCTTTTAACTGCAGTTTGTGGACTTCCTGATAGTAAAGTAGTCCAGCTTTTCAAACCCTTTCAAAGTAAAATGTTTCAAGGCTCTTATTTTGGATGATCATAGTTGGCAGATACTGAAAACCTAACATTTCCAGGCTTCTGTGTCTCCCTGCCCCTCCTTTAGATTCTATTTACCCACCTTTCCCTTAAACAGCTTCTCTATGTGTTTGCTGTGGGACTCTGAGTCGGTGGCGATGTAGACGGAGCGGGCGGCGGTCTTCTTCACCCACAGTTTGACGGCCCTGCGGATTTCGGCCAGGTCAGGGAGGCACATGGTCATGCTGAGGGGGAGCGCCGTCTGGCGGTTGTAGCCGACGCACTGAGGGGAGGCCATGAAGTGAGGCCCGGTGTCGCCGCTCTCCAGAAGCTTGCAGGCGTTTTGCTGTAAAAGGATGAAAAGATGCCAGGTTCAGATTGACTTTATGAGGAGCTTCAGACAGATGTTAGAGCTGCAGGATATCAGCGAACATGGGAGGAAGGGAGGGAGGGAGGGAGGGAGGAAGGAAGGAAGGAAGGAAGGAAGGAAGGAAGGAAGGAAGGAAGGAAGGAAGGAAGGAAGGAAGGAAGGAAGGAAGGAAGGAAGGAAGGAAGGAAAAAAAAAAGGAAAGGGAGGGAGGGAGACAGAGGAAGGAAGGAAGGAAGGAAGGAAGGAAGGAAGGAAGGAAGGAAGGAAGGAAGGAAGGAAGGAAGGAAGGAAGGAAGGAAGGAAGGAAGGAAGGAAGGGGCAAGGAGATAGGGAGGGAGGGACAGGGGAGGACAAGAAGGAAGGAAGGAAGGAAGGAAGGAAAGAAGGAAGGAAGGAAGGAAGGAAGGAAGGAAGGAAGGAAGGAAGGAAGGAAGGAAGGAAGGAAGGAAGGAAGGAAGGAAGGGGCAAGGAGATAGGGAGGGAGGGACAGGGGAGGACAAGAAGGAAGGAAGGAAGGAAGGAAGGAACGAACGAGGAGGACAAAAAGGAAAAGAAAAAGGAAAGGGAGGGAGACAAAGTGGAAGGAAGGAAGGAAGGAAGGAAGGAAGGAAGGAAGGAAGGAAGGAAGGAAGGAAGGAAGGAAGGAAGGAAGGAAGGAAGGAAGGGGCAAGGAGATAGGGAGGGAGGGACAGGGGAGGACAAGAAGGAAGGAAGGAAGGAAGGAAGGAACGAACGAGGAGGACAAAAAGGAAAAGAAAAAGGAAAGGGAGGGAGACAAAGTGGAAGGAAGGAAGGAAGGAAGGAAGGAAGGAAGGAAGGAAGGAAGGAAGGAAGGAAGGAAGGAAGGAAGGAAGGAAGGAAGGAAGGTCTTAGGAGGTTCTGTAGGATCCCAGTTTCAGTCAGAGGTTTCCAAACGTTTCCTAGAATCAACAAACATCTAGAAATATTTCTATGGTGTCGTTTCCTTTGGGCAGCAGCTCTGACGGCTCGGATCTACAAATGGTCACATGTTCAGAGGATGGTCTGACCCAGTCGACGCCGATCCGCAGGTGAATGCCAACGTAGGGCCTGGCCAGCAGGGCGGCGATGTGCTCCTCTCCCTCCTTCACCATCTTGTCTGACCAAACCACGTAGCGCTGCAGGCCCACATGCTCCTCCAGCACCGGGAACTGGGCCGGAGCGCCGGGCAGCGCCAGCACCGGGTGCTCAGAGGGGGGGAATCTGTTTCACACGGGGAGGGGGGGGGATTATTCAGTGGATTTTTCTCCTCACTCAGTAAAATACCAACAGTCTGTTTTCTATTGACCGCATTCTAAGGCTCCTACCTCTTCATCCACTGCGGCTGATAGTAGGCGCTGAAGGTTATCCCTCCAAACAGAACCGACTGGTCAAACTCTACTCCCACATGGTCCCAGAACGGCCCGAAAGGATTTCCATCCTGAAAACAATCAGAAGCTATAGTCCAGGCAGAGAGCAGCAAGCATCAGCTGCAGGAGTATCTCCACAGTAACTTCACAACTCCAGACCGCAACTCTAGAACTTCACAACCATCTGGATGAGTGAGAAACCTGCAGACGAAGCAGGACTCTGATGGTCTGACTGATGAAGGGTTTCAACATGCATCAAATGAACCTGAAAAGAGGCAGAAAGCTTCTCTGCTCCCCAAAATAAAACAGCTCAGGTCCCGCAAGAAAAATCCAGCTGTTCTGTGATCAATCAATCAATCCCAGAGCCAACGTTCTCCAACTGTAGAGCTATTGATCTAGAATAAACCCAGTCTGGTGACTAAACAGCTGCATGCAGAGAACAGCTCCCACCTTCATGGGGCAGGACTTCTTGTCTGCGCTCCTCTGGGCGGCGGCCTCGAAGCAGTAGGCCTTCCTCTGTCCTGGGGGCCAGTATTTAGGAGCCAACACCTTCATGAAGTCCTCCAGGCTGATCACCCGGTGGTACGCCGACAGAGCCTCCAGCTTGAAGAACTCGCTGTAGGGAACGTGAACCTGAACAGGAGGGAGAGAACATCTGAGCGGGGGAACAATTTAACCCACTGCAAGATCTGCTGCTTTAGAACAACCGGGGTATGACCCATACACCCCCCGACTATGACCCAGACACCCCGACTATGACCCAGACACCCCAACTATGACCCAGACACCCCAACTATGACCCAGACACCCCAACTATGACCCAGACACCCCGGCTATGACCCAGACACCCCGGCTATGACCCAGACACCCCAACTATGACCCAGACACCCCGGCTATGACCCAGACACCCCAGCTATGACC